CCGCTATGTAAGCATATGCCCAGGTTCGCATAAATACTATGACAGCCAGCCCCACCCACTTCTACTGTTCTGACCTGGGCCTCGCACAGAGATTGCGACCAAGCTGTCAGCCACGGCTGCAGCCATCTGAAGGTTTGATGAAGCTGGCAGGTTTGTTTCAGTGGTGGTTTTGGTGGAGACCTCTTGCGACAGGGCTGCTTGAGTATTCTTACAACATGGTGGCACCCAAATGGAAGCTATCTCTTTTATGAAGTGGCCTTGGACATCACACGGCATCACTACTCACATTCTGTCATTAGAAGGGAGTAATAAGTCTGGCACATGTTCAAGGGGAAGAAAATTAGGCTCCATCTTTTGAAAGGAAAAGTGTCAAGGACTGTAACTTATTTTAAAACCTCTATCGTGTTTAAGAAACTACTAGCTTTTTAAAGGATGTACTAGGGAAGAAAAAGAAGTGAGGGTGGGTGGGAGTGATACATACACCACGGTAAAGTTTCTAAATGACAATCTACTTCTCAGAATGACATTAAGACTTCAAAACTTAGAAATGACACAAAAACTGAATGGCTTGGAAAATTTCCCCTTGATGTACGCAGTCCACAGAATTTGGTGTTTTGTTTTTAAAATGTCCTCGTACACAGAAGGGACAAATTTCCAAAGCCATTTTCAAACTCAAGCACTTCCAGGGAGATAATTTGTTTTTTCTGATAAAAGTTCTGCTATTATGATACTGATAAAGCTTATGTGTAACAATAATAAACAGGCTTTAAGAGTGAGAGCCTCCACCATTCTCTACCATCTTTTGAGTCATCCGGGGGTGGGGGCGGGGGACAGGGGTTGGTAATCTCAGACCAGAAATACAGAAATGCTTCTTAAGTCTTTAAGGAACATCAGATGGGCTTCATGTCACTTAAGCACCGTGAGAAAACAAGAAAATCATGAAAACACACTGGGAATCAGATACCAGGGTTCAGCCTCTTGTGGCGTCTTTAGCCGAGGCCAAAACCCCCTGGACGGGAACAGCACGGATTCCACTGAGCATGCCTCATGGAAAGGTCTGCAGCACTGCTGTTTTACTCATCTAGCTATATTTTAAGAATTAAATGTCATCGTGCTGCTCACACGAGCTGACCGAAACCTGGGTGTGTCAGTCGTCAGTGTCCGCAGAAACCCCGCCAGGCTCTGGTGAGATCTGAGTTTATCCCCACATTCCCAAGCCGTCCAGGAACTACCAAAGTCATCCCATGGATTATACTGCTGGGAGGTTACATTTCATCAATTCGTTCGCAAATAATCATGATTCGTGAATATTTAATAGCCATTCATGGAGAGCTTCTCAGGAACCTATCCAGCCAACAAGTAGCAATTCATCCCACACTTGCTGAGCCCCCACCATGTGTCAGGTGGAAGGCAGGTAGAGAGTACCTGTCAACAGCAAAGACGGAGCCAGCTAGGCTCTCGCATCACTTGCCAGGTGTGGCACCTGCATACGTTAGTCTGGCTCCGTCAGCTTCAGTCTCTGCATCTATAAAATGGGGTAATGGAGGCCTATCTCTTCGGTCTGTCTGGCTTAGCTTACTAAAGCGTCAGCATCCAGCAGATGCCATGTCCTCCAAGAGGTACTCCTTTTAGTACTGCATCAAATCCCTCTCATCATTTCCCTCTGGACCCTGGAAGCTTTCCTTTACAGCACTTCCCAGTTCCTAATTATAAAGTTTTTGGTTTGATGACCTGATTAACATCTCTCTCTCCCACTGGACTGTACAATTCATGGAGACAGATATTCTGATTGTCCAATATACCCACATCCAGAATAGTAGCATGTAATAGATGCTCAAAAACATCTGCTGAACAAACTAATAAACTACGCTGACAAACACACAGAGTACAAAGATGAAAGACATCAGACCAGTCTTCATCAAGGAGTTGACAGGCCAGAGCAACAGTTCTCGATTTTAGCTGTACATCTGAATCAGCGGGGAGGAATTTCATTTTAATACCAATACCTGGGCTCTACTATGGAACGGCTCTAGGCGTGTGGGCCTCCAGGATCCCTGCTCTTGTGGTTTCAGAGTTTTCCAGGCAATATTAAAGAACAGTCAGGGTTGAGACTCGCTGGTCCAATGCTAGAGACACTGGTCAACAGTTGTAATACAATGGGATGTATGTTCTCCTACAGCAGCAAAGGACTTTCCTGTGATGGTGGAAATGTCCTGTGTGTGTGCAGTCCAGTACTGTACAGCTGGGCACACGTGACTACTGAACACACAAAAGGTGGCTATTTGGACTGAGGATCTGAATTTAAAATTTTTATTTTAATGGATTTAAATTTAAGAAGGCTTATGTGACTAGAAACTACTTTATTAGCTAGCACAGACCTAGGGTTAAGGACATAGGAGAACTAATCCAGGCGAGGGTGGGGTAGGGGGTGGGCAAAGCTCACTTAGCTGTGGCCCTGACCAGGAGGAAATGGCAACCAAACACTGCACACAGACCTTGTCCTCTCCACCCCGCACACATCCAGGGACAACCTGGCCTTCCTGCTAGAGCCAGGAAATCTTGGAAGAATAAAGCACATCCCCCCCAAGCAAAAGAGTTTGTGTGAGCTGCTGAATGATGTGGTCCTCTGCAAAGGGAGGAAATGTGTCTTGAGAAAGGACACTTGGAAAAAAGGAGTCACATGGAGCCCCAAGCAGGGTCAACATGGTAGCGCCTTGCAGCTGCAAATCAAGGTCTCCCTTCGGTGACACACAGCTGAGAGCCTGAAGCACAAACTGTAGTGCTATAGAGAAGTGACACTTATTCCTGAGGCAGATAGTGGTACATTAAGCTCTTTATAATACCAGCCCAGCCCCATGCTATTTGTTGAATGACTGAATTAATAGAGAAGGAACCAAGCTACTGCTTCAGCAACCATTTCCCCCATCTACCAGGTGTTAAGCACCTACCATGCTGCAGGCAGTTCATTAGAGGCCTTAAACACCACCTCATTTTGGCCAGACAATATTCTGCAAATTAGTTGGTATTTTCTCATTTTATGGTGAGGCAATTTAAGATTCACAGAAGTTAAAAAATTTACTTGACTTTAACAAGCGGCAACAAAGAGAAGATTCAAACTCAGGTCTACACCACCTGAGTTTTTTGGTTTTTTTTTTAATAAAGGCTGTATAGCATTCTATTATATAATGTACTATTGTTTATTTAACAAATTCCCATTTACTGTCTGTTTTCCCAAATCATAACCAATGTTTCAATGAACCTGCTTGTACATACATTTTAAATACACTTTTAGTAGTGCATAAGATACATACATACACATAAAAAGGTATGCAAATCCTAAATGTAGCATTTGATAAATTATCAAAAAATAGACATAACCATGCAATCATCTCCCAAATCAAGAAACAGAAGACCACCAGCACCTCAGAAGCCCCTGTACCAACTCCTAGTTATCCATGCCCTGTCCTCTCTAGACAGCTAGTTATCTAAACAGGGCCTACCACACTGAGAGTGCGCATTACAATGATGCAAAAACAGAGATTATAGATCGGGTGTATAATTTAGGCCAAGACTTAAAACCACACTTGGTCACTACATAATAAGACATCTATCATTTACCTACCTTAATTAGAAGTTAGTGTTTTATTGGCTATAAAGAAATTAGAGAGAGGTATCAAGGAACTACGGTATAAAAAGTGTTAACAACTGAGACTATAGAACGTTGTAGGCCTAGAGGCTTTAAAGGCAAGAGGTTTCCAGTTCAGTGAGACTAGATTCCCAGCTCTGCGAAGGAGTATCTGAAAGCCGAGTTCTGCCTTTTTCAATGTTCCTTCCAATGTTATAATTTTATGACAATTATGAACATAAATGTAAATAAAATATAAAATTTATATAAAATATAAATTGTATGGTGCTTACTGAACTCCCATGACATGGCAGGCTCTTTGCAGATATGAGCTCATTAAGTCCTTTCAACAACCTTGTAATAATACCACGATCCCCATTTTACAGGGGAGAAAACTGATATGCAAAAAAGTAACATATGGGGCAGGGCGAGGCTGCAAACCTCCGTCTACACACCTTCAATCCCCTGCCCTTCCCCATTAGACCCTGCTGCCTTTCCCCTCCGGTTTTGTTCCAGTACAAACTGATTTCCTAAGAGTACTGCCCCTGGGCATGGAACTAGTACTGCAATAATGATAACACAAGACCTGAGGTAGAGACCTTGAAACTCATTTTCCGTTTCCAAGCCTCTCCTTCCCTGAGGCCTGGAACCTACCCTATCCCCGTGGTTCCCCATTGTTTATCTTAATTTGGTTTACTTTTTCTTATCCACTGACAACACACTTTTGTCTCCAAGGTCACAAAGTCACTGGCCCAAAGACAAAACGTTTAGTTACACAGGTTACCTGGCGTGCCCTCGGCCACAAGACATGATAAGCTGGCAGACCTGTCCAGGTCTCCATCTAAGGGTGTCTGCCCCCTTCCCCTCACTAACTTTCATTAATTTTCAAATATGGACAGGTACACTCTAGAAAGAAAAGATCCTCATATGTGTAACTGAGGCCACTGAATTACAGATTGACCAACTATATAGACTTTAAATATCTCATGTCACTTGTGGCAAAATTACCTACCCTTCTAATAAGCAACAAAAATTTTTACTTGTCAATTACAGTTGACAATCAGTATGATATTAGTTGCAGGTGTACAGTATAGTGGTTAGACATTTATGTAACTTAGGAAGTGATTCCCCCATCTACTGAGTTTTTAAATGTATAACAAAACCCACTGCAACTAATGTTTTTTCTTTTTACTTTGGAAACAGTAACAGGGTTGGACTGACAGAAGAGACAGAGAAAAAAAAGACAAAAAAAGAATTTCTTTGACCTACTGATTTTTCTATTTGGATCAAGTCTTCTATAACCCCAGCACCTTACAAATAGCAGTGAAAACTGTGGACACGGTGTGTAATGCTGTCTGTTTTGTCCAGTACTCACCTTGACCAGAACTATATATCGCTTTCACAGATTTCTTCACTTTCTGCAAAGCTGTTCTATCTTGGTCTAGTGCCTGAAAGAGAAAAACAAAGAAGGAAAAAGATTGAAAAACTTGTTAAGTTCAAAAATAAAAACTTACTCATAACTATAACTACATTTGTTTTGCCAACTACCACAGCAGCAGCAAACTGATATATGTATGAACAGCGCAGCACTTCAGCGGCTGGAGGCGCCAGGACCTGAGTAGTTGTTTTCGGGATGAATGCACAATCGTTCCACAAAGCTCAGGGTGGAGTGAGGCGGATAAAGTGGTCGCTGGTCAGTTATCATCCTAAGCCACGCACAGGGCAGAAAACACAAGACACCTAAGAAATCATAAGACCCGCCTCCTTCTCCAGGAGAATTTTCAACCAGGGAGGAGATGAAAGGTGAGCTTAACAAATGAACGACAGAGACCCAGGGAACAAAACACATTTTATCACTAATGGTAATTTCAGCCAGAAAGAAAATACTCAAGGGTTTGTTAACAAGTAAGAGTGAGGGAGAGAAGAGCTTTTCACAACACTTTTAAACTTGAGGATCTCTTTTAGTGTTAAAAAAAATGTTATGGCATAATGCCCACTGTATTTTAAAATTCTGCTTACTCAAAAAGCACAGCATAAAAAATGCGACCGCGATGCTGGTAATGGCCTTTAAGTGGTTTCTTACACATGAATCAAGACATCCTTATACCTGCGCTGTAAATGGAGGGCAGGCTTCTAGGGGGCTGTCACTGCTGTTTTTAATCCAGCTGATAAACACACAACTGTATTCATTCAGTTTGTGAAATTCCTCAAACTGTGCACTTAGGATATCAGGATATGTCTTGTTTCCATAATATGCATTACACTTCAAAAGCAAGTTTTAAAAAGCTGTATTCAATACAGATATGCATATGGCGCCCCTCTCTGCATCCCTAAGAAGATCCAGGATCTTCTTGGGGCCCTCTGGATGGTGCGTCAAGACTGGGGGAGGGGCACGAGCAATAAAATCAATAATGATAAATTTGTATATATAAAATGTAAAAACAGTAAATGTGCACTCACAACCATTACATCATCTAAACCGCCAAACTTCAGATGAGAAAACTGAAGCCCCCAGGGGTTAAGTACTTCTCTCCTGAAGGTCATGGGCGGAGCTGCAAGGGGTAAGTACATTGGCATTAGGCCTCTATCATCCCCCTTTCTCCAGGAAAATGGTCTTTCCCACCATGGTAAACACCTCGTTCAACTGGGTGTTGCCCTTTTTCCTTTGGCTCCTACTTTCTGGAGCCCAATGGCGGGTCAGGTGGGCACCTGACTGGTGCTGGGCTCAGGTCCTTCCTCAGACTTCTGGGCTTGGGAACAGAGATCACAATGCGCGGTTCCTTTCTGGTGAGATGGGCCTGGGGACCAGCAGTGGCTATGCTTCCAGATGTGTAAAGAAACCTGACCAGACAGAATGATGCTTCCAGAGACAAGAGTGGAGAGGGTCCTGGTGGTATCTGACTCCCAGCTATCCCCAAGGCATGTGTCACTGCTAACCTTCCTGTAGACTGAGGACGGGAGACAATAAAAACCTCTGGTTCCAAGCTAGTTGAAGTTGAGATTCTATCACTTGTAACCCCAAGAACTAAAGCTTACTGAGCATGTACTACACCAGATAGCTTGGTAGAGAAGACAAACCAAGTAGGTAAGATACACATGCTTTCAATGTCTTCTCTCTTTACACTGCATTTTCACAAAAACCCGGTGGAGCAGCACCTACATTTTTCAGATAAGGACTTCAATAAATATTTGTTGGGAGGGAGGAGAAAGGTAAAGATTAACTACCTTGCCCAAAGGTACAGAGCCAGCAAGTGTTCAAATCACATTCACACTAATTACCAAATCCCAAATCGAATGGGACACTAGGATAAGAGCCAGTTTTCAGCCTGTAAGTCTAACACTATTTCTATCATGCCCATCACTTAGAAGCCACCTCTGCAATCTCTCACAGCTTGTCCTACCTGTACTTCTACTAAATTATTATTTTCCTTTAAATTCACTCACATCCTTTTTATGTAAATACATTAAAAAGAGCTACCACAAATGGATAAACAGGATCACTTACCATTAATAGAAGAAACCATAAAAATTACCGTGTCTCTCTAACTCTACAAAATCCTCATAGGACACTAGGGATTCTGCATACTACACTTAAGGAAAGTGTTTATGGAACAGTTTCAGGGAAGAGACAAAGTTTGAGTTATTTCAAAGACTGAGATTTGTACTTGAGAGAGAAGAGGGGAGATAATGAATATTTTCACAAATGCTAAGATTTATAGGTTATCTCAATTCTCACAAAAGCCCTCTGAACTAAGAACTATTATTAAATTTATTTTTTAGATGAGGGAAGTGTAACTTGCCCAGTGTGGCAGAGCTGGAATTGACCACTGAACCTGACCTAACCATGGCAGGGTCCTGCATGCCAATGACATCTGCCATGCACTGGAACTAAAAGGAGTTCACTAAAGGGGGGACCTGTCACCAGTTTTCAGAGTTAAGTCCGGGTTAAAAAATTATGAGACATTTAGGTTGCAGGAGTATGTGAGGGAAAGAGAGAAATGCAAATTTGCAAATAATTACAGATTTAAGGGATGAAATCCAACCCTTTGGTGACCTGCTATTGTGGCAAGGACATTTAAAAAATAATCCTAACAGTCACCATTTATTATTATTATTATTTTAAATATATCTTTATTGATTTCAGAGAGAAGGGAGAGGGGGGGAGAGAGAGAGAGAGAAATATCAATGATGAGTCACTGATCGGCTGCCTCCTGCACGCCTCCTGATTGGGGACCGAGCCTGCAATCCAGGCATGCGCCCTGACGGGAATCGAACCTCGATCTCCTGGATTCTAAGTCAATGCTCAACCGCTGAGCCATGTTTGGCGGGCACCATTTACTTTTTATAGACACGTTCTTGCCATCTTTTTTTCCTGATGAAAGCCCAACCTTAAGGAAGTAAAGCAGCTTTCAAGTGTCACACACCAGGTAAGAGATGATGATCTCGCCCCTGCTATTCCAACCAGGTGCTCATCCCATATCCTTCCAGAAGGCACAGCCTTGCTATTCCAACCAGGCACTCATCCCACATCCTTCCAGAAGGCACACCCCTGCTATTCCAATCAGGCACTCATTCCTTATCCTTCCAGAAGGCGCGTCCCATTTCCCCTAGGGCCTACCACTCCTCAATTATTCTGGAGAGAAGAAAAAAGACCTGCTTCTGGAAGAGTAACCTATCAGTCTAGCTCTGGGGAGTGATGGCCACACGAGGACCGATCGAAGGGGAATTAATGAGTGGGCACTGATGTCCATGCACATTTAGAGTTACTCCAAATAAGCCAACTGTTGTGGACGACTTCAGCCATGACATCTGTGAGACCAACTATCTGCTACCCCCTTTTTTTCCCCTGGGAAAAGTCTCAGAATTTATGCTGAATTCTTACCAACTCATCTATAAACTAATAGGATGTCAAGTTCACGTTCTTACTTTTAAAGGTTATTAAAAACATCCGCGTTTGACAGCTCTAGTCACGGTTAAGTCTGGGTGACACGTCTCTTTTTACACTCTGGTATTTGGCCACCGGCAGAAGCAGCCCAGGGAAATGTAAGGGCTCGGTGTTTAAGAGCGCCCAGGGACACTGTCGCTCAACACACAGGACTCCCTCCGGAACAACACATGTCTAAATGTGCAACACAGCCCCATTCCTTCAACCGCCAGACAGGCAACGCCTGCAGTGACATTCCCTGAATGTCATATACGTAAACTTAAATAAAAGCTAAGAGAAAAGTGGCAGATAATAGGGGCTGTAAAATTATTAGAGCTCTCAACCCATTCAAGGCATGTTGTGAATGCCTGCATTTCTAAGTGAGAATCTGACAAGGAACTCAAAGAGGGGTGTGTGTGTGTATGTGTGTGTGTGCGCGCGCGAGCGCGTTGTGGAGGAGTTAAATAAATCCAGGAGAATATGCTCATCTCTAATAATAGAATAACATTATCTCTATTTAAATCTTGCAATACAGCAACGTCACATTCTCTCCACGACTAAAGAGCAGGGGCGTTACCCTAGAAAAGCACTTCTAGCCTTGAAATGGAGCCTTCTGACTTTTATTTTTTATTTTTTTTATTATTTTTTTTATTTTAATTTTTTAAAAATATATCTTTATTGGTTTCAGAGAGAGGAGAGGAGAGGGAGAGAGAGAGATAGAAACATCAATGATGAGAGAGTCATTGATCAGCTGCAGCCCGCAACCCAGGCATGTGCCCTGACCAGGAATTGAACCCTGATCGCCTGGATCCCAGGTCTACGCTAAACCACTGAGCCACACCCGGCCGGGCTGACTTTTATTTTTTAATTGATTTTAGAGAAAGAGGAAGGGGGGGAGAGAGAGAGAAAGAGAGAAACATCAATGTGAGAGAAAAACCTGATCATCAGCCTCCCGTATACAACCCAGCTGAGGACTGAACCCACAACTTGGGTATGTGCCCTGACCCGGAAATGAACCCACCACCTTTAAACCACTGAGCAATACCAGCCAGAGCAGACTTCTGACCTCTATTTTGTGCACAGACCTAACACATTTGTTAATCTGAACACACAGAGAAGACAAAGGCTGTTGGGAGAGAGACTGCCAGAAGAGAAACCATACCAACAGAAACATTATGTGAGAGCTGATAACCAGAAGGATTCAGGAAAATTACATAAACAGACATCAGGATTAAAAATTCCTTCAGAGTATGAGGCCATGATGTTCCTGGAGATGCACAGGAACCCAGCCATGCTTGCTCCCAGCCCAGAGCATTTGCACTAGCTGATTCCTCTGCCTGGAATTCTCTTCCCTACGTTCTTGGGAAGACCAGCTCTTTCTTCTTACACAGGCCTCAGATGCAGAGCCCCTTCCTCTGAGAGGCCTTCTGGTCAACCTAGAGCAGCACGCACGCTCGGCCCACCTGGCTACTCTCTAACACACCTCACGCTTTTCTCCAAAGCACAACCACACCCCCAGGATCCTGTTCCTGACTTGTTTACTTTTATGGCATTTATCTCCTTCCACCTGTGTAAACTTTTCATGGCCGAATTCCCACTTCCAGTGCCTAGGAGACGGTTGATGCTCAAAAATGCTTAGGAAATGAAGGGACAAATGACCAAAGAAATAATTCCTCAGTAACCTCAGCTCCACAAAACAGAAAAGTATGCAAAGTGAGACTTGCCTTGAGAATGGCTGAACAAAATAAAAGTTCTGAACTCAAAAAGCGTGGCTCTCTGTAATTCTTCCCGGAATATTTTTGCATAGCCGAAGTGTAAATGTATAAACTATTTAACAGCATAGACAGAACTTACACATTTTAAGTTAGTTTTGTACCTTAAGATTGTTATTCCAACAGCTGTCTTAACTATTTTATTGAAACATAATACTTATGTTAAATAAGCAGTGGCAATACTATTGTTATTATTCGTTAAGATATTCAATTTTAGAATTACTTTCTAAGTCTATGGCGCCTCCTTTTCAATATAGTCAAGCGGAAAAAGCTGCTCTTATTCTGGGTAGATGTAATTTTTTTTTTTTTTAATTTTTATTTTTGTTTAAAGTATTACAGATGTCCCTTTTGGTAGATGTAATTTTTAAAAGTAAATATAAATCTTAGGAGCTAAATCTTATGCGTATACTTATAGAGAAAGGAAACAGTGGATGACAATAAAGTAACAGCACAGAATTCCTTAGAGATATGCTGAGGTGGACAGACATCTTGCCTACCTTCAGGGATACGGAGCATTCGCTCTATTAATGGACCTGGAGGAGGCTGGCAGAAAGCCTCGCACAGAGCAGGTGCTCAAACCCTGCTGGCTATCGTTACCCTCACCTCTGAAGGCGCTTCTAACGGAGAAGTCCTGAGACGCCTACAGCAGCCCAGCAAAACAACTCTGAAACAAGTACTCCTACTAGCGAAGAGAATTCTTCAATGAAAAGAACTTTCACTCACTTGGAAAAAAGGGAGTGCTTATATTTTATTACTTTATAGTTGCACTCAGGTAATTTTGAAATTGCAGTTCAACAAAGAGCACTGTGAATAAAGGTGCCGAGAGAGAATGACAGTGAAAGATGACCATTACCTCAACAAAGCGGAGGGGTGGGGCTCACTATGCAAGGTTTCGCTCTGAGGATCATTGCACTTGGGTTTTTGTATCACTTGCTCGCTTGTTCATATTAGTGGCTGTGCCTGATGTACACAGAACACAACTCAGCCAGGCACTGGCCTAAGTGTGCAAACCAAACACTGCATCTTCCTCTGCTTCCCCGGCTGCATGCCCCCACTTCTACCTGCTGCAGCGAAACAAAACCTTCACTAGAATACTAAACGGGAAGCCTGGTACTGCTTTTGATAAGATCGATGGAGGAAGAAGTTACTCATGAAATATTAATCCTTGTTAGCCTGGGGCTTTATCCACATTTCCCAGACCTTCCACTCTCTACCTTGTCTTTTAGGTGTCTAGGTACCCCATCCAATCAACTACAAGTTCTCAAAGGATAATACTATGTTTGTTTGTTTCTTTGCGTAGAAAACGCTTAGTAAGAATTTGCTGAATTGAATGAAAGGAACACACACACACTCACACGGAGGAAAGGATGAATGAACTCATTGTTATTAGAATAAAATCCAGGTCCTCACTAAGGCCCTCTGTGGTCAGCCCCCTGCCCTCTGCCCTCTGTTCCCACACTCTCCCCTACTCAAGCCTAATGCACACCCACAGTTTTCCTGAACCCATCCAGTGTGTTCCCACCTCGGAGCTTTTACAATTGCTGACCTCCCTGCTGAAATCCTTTCCTCAAAGCTCTCCCCCAGGTCGAAAGGGGCCTGGCCTGCTCCTCCTCTCTCCTTTTTTTTCAGTGTTCGGCTCAGATGCTAGAAGCAGAGCCCTTATTAACTTGTGAAGCTGAAGTGTGTGCGGTGCTGAGCACTGTCCCGTGTGACAGCTACATAGCACCGGCATCACAGGAAGGCTCCGTCTCAGGCAGCAGGACAGACAACCTGCAAACAGGCAACCGCAGCTCACAGGAAAGGAAGTAAAGCTGTTATCACTTGCTAGTTTCAAGATTAATATGAACTGAATGAGGCTGCAACACAAGGGGAAATGAGCAACCTAAAAATTTTTTTGATTTGCATAATGCAGCCAAAAAATGGAAAGTTGACGTGTCATCCATAATACAGGTTTTAGGCCATTTATCGGTGCTATTTTAGACTATACAAAGGGTCCTTAAGATGCGGGTTCTCCTATGTCTACACAGATTTCAACCAGAAATATTTCAGGTCCTCTACTATGGCTGCATGGTTGCATGGGGTGGACTTTAACCCACGGAGATGCTATACTACTAAGGGTTTGGGCCCTACTTGAGAAGTTACTTCACAATTCAGATCTGCAGCAAAGGTTCCAAGTAGCACCC